TCTCTCTCTCTCTCTCTCTCTCTCTCTCTCTCTCTCTCGCTCTTTCTGTCTCTGTCTCTGTCTCTCTTTCTGTCCATATATACATATATGTGTTATATATTGATAATGTTAATGTGTTAGACACATCTCTCTTTAAACGGAAAACGTCAGAAAATAAACTTCAACGATCTATCTTCAAATATCCTATTACTATTTTTCGAAACTATGCTTGTTATGCGCGAATTTTTCTGTCGATGGTGCAATCAACATATTTTCTCTCTCTCTCTCTCTCTTTCACTATCTTTTCCGTCTTCTGGTACTTTCCTTTTACATCTATCTCTATCTATATCTCTCTTCTTCTTCTTCTTCTTCCTTTTCGTTGGAATTCGTCCATTATTGGAGAGACATGTTATAATAAATATAAAAATGTATTCAATGATTCTGCTTAAACCGAGAATTTTCTATCTTGTCACTTACATATGTTTCTATCTCTTTCTCTCTCTCTCTCTCTCTCTCTCCATCCCTCCATCTCTCTCTCTCTCTCTATCTTTCCCTCCCTCTCTCTCTCCCACTGTCTCTGTCTCTCTCTCTCTCTCTCGATCTCGATCTTGTTCTATCTATCTGTCTCTTTTTACCCCCACTTTACTTCTTTATTACTAATCGTTGCTGCTGCCGTTTATTTTTCACTCGTCGTTGGTAATAGGAAAAGGACAACGTATCTTTTCAGTTATTATTATTATTATTATTATTATTATTATTACTATTATTATTTTTTATGATTATTATTATATTTTTAATATTATTAGTATTAATATTTTATTTTGTTTAAAATTGTTTTTGTTTTCTTCTTCTACTTCTTTGCTACTATCTTTTCCCGATATTACGTTGTCCTTAAGCCGATCATACAAAAGACGAATTAAATGATACGTAAGAGAAACGTAAGAGAGAGAGAGAGAGAGAGAGAGAAGAGAGAAGAGAGACGGACAGACAGACAGACAGACAGACAGAGATAGAAAAAAAACTGATGTATAAATACAGTTATAAAAGTAAAAGAAAAAAAAAAACTAAGTAATATGAATATCAACATATGTGTGATTCCATTTATGAACTATTACGAATCCTTATTTTTCTTCTCTTTTTTCTTTATTTTTTTTTTTTACCTTACTTATATATTTTTCTACCTATTTTTATATTATTTCATCTTTTTTTTTCCATACAAACATTTGTCATATCATGTCCTGCAATTGCAACGCGAGCACAAACAAGAATTAATTAATTTCATTATATATATATATATATATATATATGTAATATATTTTTTTTTTTGTATTTTGTTAATTTTTTGAGAGAAATTGCAAAAGATTAATGCACTTGTATTTCAAATGAAAATATCTGCAATGAAAGGAAAAGAAAAATAATTAATTAGAGAGAAAGAGAAGAAGAAGAAAAAAAAGAAATTAGAAATCAGCTGGTTAACAAAATGGTTAACGTTCTTCGTTTGCTTTTTTCTCATGACGCGACAATTTTATATTATGCGACATTTTAAATAAGTTTCACGAGCTCGAAACAATGGTGGACAGTGCTTCTTCGAGTGATGAGAAAAATGCAAGAAATCTTTTCTTATAACGATTCTTCTCGTTTTTCTCTTTTTTATCTCTCCATTATATTTTTCTAGTATATTTCTCTTTCTTTTATATTTTTATTTTATTTTTCGTCTTATATATACAATTAGTCGTCACTATTTGTATTGTCGTCTATCAAATGGACTTTTTCTTATTGACTGTACTGATAAGTTTAAATGGCTTATCGGTACACGTAATCTTGCATCTTGCATCAGTTATTTGAGTTAAAATTTTAGCTCTTTCTTTTTTATGTTAATTCTTTCCTATTTCCTTATGTTTTCTTTTCGTTAAATACACATATGTTATCGTTAATAATAGTTTAATTATTTTTTATTTATTTATTTATTTTTATTTGTATATTTTTTAAATTATAAAAAGTATGAGTGTTCAACGTTGAACTATTATAGCTTGATCTTGAACTATTAGTTTATTAGTTTTAATTGAATGGAAGTATTGACTTATTTCGAAATTGTTTGCAAAACATTAATATGAAATTAGAATTTAATTGAATCCATTAATATTTTTCTTTACTTATGTGAGAATATTTGTATAGTTAATTATTGAATATTGACTTTGAATAATAACTGATTGATTCTTAATATGAAAACTCTTACACATTGTGTTATTAATTTTATGATACACAGATTATAAATACCGCTTATCAATCACGAATTTTTCTTAGGAAATGCATTAATTTTTCCAACTATTGATATATATTATTGTATCTTATTATTTGACATAGTTTTTATGTAAGATATTATTATTGAATTAAAATATCTCTTTATTTGGGATTTAGGAACCCAAAGATTTGAGAGAACCAGCTCATCATGCGAGGAGACCAATGAATGCATTCTTAATATTTTGTAAACGCCATAGAGGATCGGTTAGATCTGGTTTTCCACATTTAGAAAATCGTGCAGTTACCAGAGTTCTTGGAGAATGGTGGGCAACTCTTAATCCGGATCAAAAACGTACCTATAAGAATTTAGCACAGGAGGTAAATATTTCTGACAATTTTATTATTTATAAACGATTACAAATATATTTATGTTATATACTTTCTTTTATATTATATAAATAAATTTAATAATACAATTTAGAGATAAATGTTTTACGCATGGTTATTAATATTAATATTGCTACTATAATTTTAGTACAAAGATGCCTTCTTAAAAGCAAACCCTGATTTCAAATGGTACAAGTTACCAGCTCCTCCTTTACGTACTCTGACTACAAGACCTACGAATAAAAAACAAGAAGTAGGGAATGTGGACCAGACTACGGATAGTGTCAAATCCGAATACGAGTCTTCCGATTATATTAATTCAGATAATAAAGACAGTCAAGCTATACAGCCAGGCAAGCTAGCTGACGAATCTCAAATTGGTGGCCTTAGCTCTCTTTTTACTCCGCAAAAGGTGCAATTAATAGATGAGCAAATAACGATTCAAAATGATGTTCCTGAATTGAAAGATGTTACAGCACCTAAACCTCCTAAAAAGAGAAACCCAGAGTTGATTCTTGCTCTTGAACACAAAAACGAATGTAAAGTTGATCTTTTTAATGAGAAAAAAAGGAAACATCCTGAATCCAATAACAATGATCAACATACAATGGTATTAATTAGATTATTTATTTAGTTATGCTGATTAACGTTGCTTTAGATGAAATTTTATATTTTGCATATTCCTTTTTGAAAAATCATAAAATTATTGAACTTTACAGTATATAGAAAATGATAAAACAATAACCAACTCGTTCCTGGACTCAAATGCTAATTCTGAAGAAAATAATTATAGAGGTGAAAGAACGTGTAAAGGATTACGGTATCAAAAGTTTTTAGCTGAACAAATTAGGCACATTGGACCATCTGGACAAAATAATAAACGAAAGAAGTCAACTACGTCGTCGTTGTCATATAGGTATAAAGTTGCATTCATGTAACATTGTTATAATAGTAATATAACAGTAATAATAATTTTCTAATTGAAATTATTCACATTATTAGTCCCGAGGAGCAATTAAATGAAAGAAGAAATTCCATATCTTCCAATGTTAGTGAAAAAACTGATTCTTTGAGTAGCGAAGGTGGAAATAGTTCACGTGGTGAATTAGAACATTTAGTAGAAAGGTAAAATTTGTAATCTAAAAATCCCCATATATTGTTGGGAATTATTCGTAATATTAAAATAACGTTAGAATTTAATTAAAGTGCTGAAGGAAATTTGGAAGCTTCTAAGCCAGAAGAAACAGAAACAGAAGGCGCAGAAAGCGATTTGGATTTTGGACCTTGGACAACACGTAAAAGATTTCGTGCTGAGTAAGTTTGATCAAATAAAACAATTATAATTCTGTTATTTTCTTTGTGAGAGATAAATAAAAATCATAGTAATAGAATAGATCTAATTTCTAACGTATTATTGTTTTTACACATAGGGATTTTAATTTGGAAAAAAAGATTGAAGCTTTACCTTCCTTAAGTTTAGAAGAATTTCAAGAAAAGAAAAAGCTACAGCGTATAAACAAGAAAAAAGTTTTGCAAAAGTTAAATACAAATAAATGGTGCCATGATAATTCCAATAGCGGTCAATCTAATAGACAAAATAATAAAAATAGATTGTATGCTACAAATGAAATTCTAGAAGATGGTGAAAAGTCGCATTTGGTAGGAAGTCAGAAGAGAAAAGCACGAAAGCAAAGTATTACTCGTAATGCAGCAGCAACGATAACGACGACAACTATTATTTCTAATATGCCTGGAAATCAAGAAATAAATAAGAGTAAGTACGATTTAATAAAAATAATATCGTACATTCGGTAATATTATAATAACAATAATAAAAGCTCCAATTAATTAATTGAAAAATATTCGTATTCAAAACTTTCATTATCAACGATCGTAAATTTTCTTTTTTATTTCTATTTTTCTTACATTTTCTATGCTGTCTTATTATTTTGATCAATTACGATATTAGTAAAGAAAATTTCTCTAAGAATTCAAATACTCTTATTGTCTTTACTTCTACTTTACTGATATAATATAAGATATAACATATACACAACATATTTATCACGTTTATCAACAAAAAGAAAAGACAAGAAAAGAAAGGGAGCGATTTAATTAATCACAAAAAATATGATTCATATTCTAAATTTTTTTAGATTTTTATCTTGTTCTCATATTTACTTCATATACATATTTGATATATATATATATTTATGCTCTCTTCCTCCGACATAAACTGTTTTTTAGTTAGATATAGAATTTAATTATTTCTACAAATATTGATAGCATGGTGTGCATCACCGGACCTGGAAGCATTGGCATGTCTTGCAGCGGTTGCCGCCAATAGAACAAAACTTACCAAAAATAATGATTAACTATTAAACCCGCAGTCATGCATAAGTCAAATATTTGTGCTACATGGAGCAAGGTGTTATTAAATTTTATCATCGATATAATTTACTATCACCGCAGGATTATTCAAGTTTCTGATATAAGTGCTATTATCATAAAAAAGAAAAAAAAAAAAAACAAACAAAATAAGAAAAAAGAAAATATCAGAATATTTTTAACGTGATCATTATTATTAATATTATGGTTATTATTATTATTATTAATTATTAATTATTATTATTGTTACTATTTTAAAATATTCATTACTCAAATTATTCTCTTATTAACATAACACAACCACTATAATTATTGAAAATTTTAATCACCTAAATGTATAGAGAAAAAAAAATAACTTCTTTAATTCCATTAAATTGCTCCATTACTATAATATATATATAGTGGTTGAATTAGATAATGTTTTTCACATATATAGTTTTAAATGAAACAACAAAAAGGAGTAATTATGTTACATTCATATTTTATAAGAAGAAAAATATTCTTTTTAAATATTTCGCGTGTTTTGTTTTGTTTATATCATTTTTAGTTGGCACGTAACTATTCTATATTAGTTGTATAACGTTTCACGTTTATTATTCTTTCATTGGGAAATATTTTGATAACGTTATAAAAAAAAAGTTACGTTGATGAGGCATTTACGGATGATGAAAGTAAATGCGACAATTTTTATTCACGTTTCATATAATAAGATTCTTATAAATTTTATTACAAAAAGAAAATGACATATATATATATATACATATATAGCTGTATAAAATTGTATCAATAGAATATAAGCGAGGATATATCGTAATATGTTGCCTTTAAAAGAAAAAGAAAGAAAAAAAATCCTCGGTTTATATATATATATATATATATATATATATTATATCATAACATAAAATATGATAAGTTGTATAAAACCGGGACAGATACAGACGAGACTTTTTATGTATGTACCTAAGCTGACTGAAGTATAGTACTGACTTATTGTTAGAATAAAATTTGAATAATGATGCTATTTTTCTTATATGGCGAATTAAGATGAAGAACGAAAGAAAAATCTATCAAAAGATAAGAATTTAGTATATAAATATAATATATATAAATATTTTCTCACGTCGTTGAATAATTTTGAATAATAATAATAATAACAACAACAACAACCAACAAGAGTAGCAACGTAACGGGGCACAATCGTTGCTTTTTTTCAAATTTTATCTTTCATCTATTATATTTTATTATTATTATTATTCTATTCTTTAATTTTTTAAACGATTACTTTCCCCATTAGATTTTCTTTACGTTACTGTAAAAGTAAGATGTATATAGGAATAGGTACAGTATTATGGAAAAAATATCGATAAAAGAAAGAAAGAAAGAAAAAGAAAAAAAGATATTCTTCATGACCTGGACATCAAAAATCGATGTAATCAAATTAAATATACATACATATATATATATATGTGTATATATATATATATATATATATATATATATATATACACACGATATAAAATATAATAAATCTCTTTACATGTGTGTATAGACACGTGTACATGTAAATATACATGCTCGATAACATGAATGGTTGAGTATCAAACGCAGAAAATATTGAAATTTTTAAATGTGTAATAAATATATCTGCGATATCTAGAACATGTACATATGCATGTAGGCGTGCGATTAAATAATAAGACTACTTACGTATATACTTATATATATATATATATACACACACACATACATTTATATATATATTACATATTTATAATATTTATATCGACTAATTATTATTATATTATATTTAATGTTATGGCCATGAAAATACGACTCTGTGCTTTGTTGGAGAAAGTAAGAGATTCGTCTGTGATTTTGGCTAGAGAAATTTTTATATTTTATATTTTTCTATTGTGTTTCTCTCTCTCTCTCTCTCTCTCTCTT